GCTAAGGACACACAAGATGACACAAATTCTAGTGAGCCATCACTCACAGCTTCTGGTGATTTTCTTCCAGAGACTAATTTCGAGGAGAACACTGATGATGACCCAAATGACACTAATGTTACTGACCCAGAATGTGAACTTAATGAATACAAACTGAAAGGAGGCATGAAACTAGTAAAAGTAAGAGGGCTAAAATTATCCCATATGTCAGGTACCATAAAAATTAGGACCCAGAAAAACATTACAGAGAGCAACTTATGCTTTATACACCATGGCGGAAGGAAAGCATAGACTTGATTAAAGACTGTCAAACTTACCAAGAGAGATTTGAGCAGGTTAAGGATGAAGTTAATAGTAGTAGGCATTGGTATGAACACTATTCAGAAATCCTAGATAAAGCAATGGAGGATACCTGTATGAGTAATGCCGATTGTGACAACTTTGAAGAAAAACAAAGACAGTTTTTTTATCATGTCTTACATGTACATTCAATTAAAACAAAAGATGACCCTCTAAGATTATTCTTAGGTGGAGGTGCTGGAGTTGGCAAAAGTATTGCTGCAAATGCATTGTACATGTATGAAGCTCTGATCCAATTTCTGAATAGTATCGTTGGGGAAAATCCAGATGATGTGAAAGTTGTCAAGACTGCCCCTACTGGTAAAGCAGCATTCAATATGGAAGGCAATACAGTACAGTATGGGGCCCAGTTCTCGGCCACAAAAAACGTAAACTTGTATTTCTTACCGTGGAATAGCCGTAAGGACTTAAAATTTCACGCACAACTAGCTTCAGCATTCAGTTTACACATGTAGAGCTATCGACTGCTCAACGCTGTTTTCTCCCAAGTAATAACGAAAATGGAGGCTTCGTTCGTGGGCCCAGTTATCGGCCAGCGGGTCCGGTTCTCGGCCACGAAAGAGTGTGCGCGCTTCCTCAGAATAAACAACGCTTTATTACCATTTTTTGTTGTTAAATCACTTATAAGGCTTGTTTTTTGATATTTCGATCACAAATTATCCGTTAAGAGCTTTGTTTCATGTTAGAAATGGACGTTTTCGGCACACCTAGTTTTTCTCTTAAGTGTAGTGAAGCGAGGCTAAAAAAGAGTTGGGTATTTAAACGGGGTTAAGTCAGAGCTCATAGTTTTCAACATGCCACCCCATTACAGCTTTATTTTTACAACTAACTTGACACGAATACTCCGCACAAAACTATGAGCGCTTTTAGCGTTGAAGGCGAGCAGGGTGGCCGAGAATAGGCAAATACGCAAAAGTACTAAGAAAATATTGAGGAGTAAATTTAGGTCAAAGAATTAAACAGGCCAGGAAAAGTTTATATTTAACAGATAGCTNGCGAGCAGGGTGGCCGAGAATAGGCAAATACGCAAAAGTACTAAGAAAATATTGAGGAGTAAATTTAGGTCAAAGAATTAAACAGGCCAGGAAAAGTTTATATTTAACAGATAGCTTTATGCCAAGAATTGACTCATTTGGGCTTTCTAGACGGACAAAATATAAACTTCAATTAAACCATGTAATTGGAGTAGCCGTAAACAAACACGTTTTCGGGGAAACCAAATTCGCCTACCTTCGCGTCAACTCGACGTGCTCACAGAAAAACGGAAGACAAGGGATCAAGCTACCTTTGGAAACAATTGCTTTTTATTCAGATTCATTTGCAGCGCGAAAAGTAAGCGCTGAACAAAAAGTGGCCGAGAACTGGGCCTCACACTGCCCTGCTGCTTTTAAGATACGTGCCAATAGCGGATTTGAGTATTGTGAACTGGACAGTGACAGACTGAATACCATTAGAGCAAAACTAAACAAACTTAGGGTGATATTTATCAATGAGATTTCTATGGTTGGAAGTGGCATGTTCAAGTTTTTGAACTTAAGGTTGCAACAAATTATGGGAACTAATGAACCATTTGGTGGAATAAGCTTGCTAACTGTTGGAGATCTTTTCCAGTTAAAGCCAGTTTTTGATAAATGGGTCTTTGAAAATTCCCAATCTCGCTATGATGAATTTGCAACTAACATTTGTACAGAGTACTTCACCCTCTTTGAATTGACAGAAACAATGAGACAAAAAGAAGACAAAGAATTTGCTCAGCTACTCAATCGTTTGAGAGAGGGAAATCACCCTGAAAATGATATCTTAATTTTGAAACAATGACTTCAATGTAAGACCTAAACAAGATATAATTACCCTATGAAAATGGCACATTTATATACTACAAATGCATCGGCAGATGCTCTCAACAATGTTCTCAGTATACCCTCTCTAAAGCCGATAAAGCTCAGATTAAGGTTATGGACATTATAGTAGGGGACATTTCTGATGATCTCAAGAAACAAATGAAAAACAAAATCCCAGATGATCCAACAAAGACAATTGGTTTATATACATAGACTACAGAGTTAAAAATTCCACTAGACCAAGTATTATTTGGGTCTCATTTCCACATCTCGACATTGGCAGAAACCAGTGCAGAGAAAATGCACATTTGTACAAGGCAACTATAGATAGAAATTGGACACCAGTATTGGAAGTAGTAAGACAATTTCGACTCAATAAAAAAAAGTCAAGTCCAAATTCTGCGGCGCCAATTTCCGCTTAGACCTGCTGCTGCCAAGACTATTCACCATTGTCAAGGCGACACATTAAATGAGGCAGTTGTTGGTTTTCCAGCATCTGCAAGAGAGCCCATGCATTATGTTGGCTTGAGCTGTGTACAAAACAGCTCTGCACTGCATATTCTTAATTTGAATGAAAAGAAAATAAAGGTTACTGAGAAAGTTACAAGTGAAATGAGCAGACTAAGAACACAAGCAAACCTTGTGCCTTTAGGAGTGTTACAGACTGACAATTCACTCCCAACAAAAACAATCTTGTTCAGAATGTTAGATCTTTCCACCTTCACATAGATGATGTGCGAAGTGATTACAACATTCCAAAAGCTGATGTCAACATTTTTGTTGGATCAAAACTTTGCCTGTCAGATAAAGATGATACATATCAGCTTCATGATAAATGACTTTAGTCAGTCTAACATAAGAACTTGCTATGGAACTGCTGTGTACAAGAATGATTTGCATTGTACTAAAATCCATACAGATGTAACTTTAATAATTTGGAAATTACTGTCATGGGTTTAACCCAACCAATTCCAAATATTCATGTCATTGGTATCTATCGCTTGAAAACTTAAGTTACAATTTCACAGTTAATTGGTGCTCTAACTCATCTTCACAACTCTGTATTAACAGAACCTACAATTCCCACTGTACTGCTCAGGGGTTTCAATATTGAGCTAATGCAGGCAAATACAGAACAAAAGGCTCTAATGAAAATCTTAAAACAGACAAAGGATACACTCAGTTGATTAACCAGTATACAACTGACTGATATACACAGATAGATCATGTTTATGCCTATATACCACAATGTGTACAGTCGGCAGGTACCCTGGAGTCTTACTATAGTGATCATATGCCTATTTATATTTCCATGAGAGCTGTTTGAATATTTGTTTAAAAATTTCACTTAATGTGTATCCTATGAGATCATTATATATTTAATTTAGCTGAATATGAAACTTTCAATACCAAATAAATATCTAAATGTATCAATCAACTATTTGAAGCACAAGAGAAAATAGTCAGAACATTTATTGGCAGAAACAAAGAGTGGTTTGAATTTCCTGTGCTTTTCATGTTCCTAAATTCCTAGTCCTCATAGAGATTCAAAATTACATTTAATTTCCATCTGATGCTGTGCATAAGAATAAATTGTTCAGCTTAAAAGAATTATTTTAGCTCCAATTTTTTTTGAGGAAAGCATGCCATTTATAACTGGTATTTTCTTTCTTAAACCCTTTCCAGAAAAGCAAGAAATATCACTTCGACACCACAATTAGGTAAGTAGCTTACTTTTTATTGGGAGGGGGAAGGGGAAATGGCAGCAAATTAAAGATATACCTGTATAATTTTTCTACATTCATTCTCATACCCTTTTAAAATATGTGACTATTATCTTTATTGTGTATTGCAGGTGAAGCAAGTTGTACTATTGTGCATATGCAAATATCCTAGATGGACACTGCAGTAAACAGCTACAGTATAATATGCAAGTGACAGTTAGCAGTACCATTACTGATACTATACGTGTTTACCAGCTGCCAAAAATAATATCAAAAGACTTGTACAGAAACTGACTTTAACAACACAAGCCACCCTTAAGACTTTTTGATACAATTAAATTTTAACGTTAAAAGCCGACGTTTCGGCGTCATCGTGACACCATTCTCAAGACAAAGTGAACAAATAATGCGATATCGATGATTTGATTTCTATAGTCTCTACAAATTAACATAATAACGAAGGATTACAAATTCTTCAAGTAAATACCTTTGCGCGAATCGAATCTGTTTGCACGTTTAGGGATGGTTTAAGTTTT